ACAATATATTAGGCTACTATAAGAATAAGAATATTGATATGCCTCCTTGTCTTATATCTCCAACTTGCGTTGTTTTTGTTGTTTTTGATGCTTTGTCATGTTTTCACATGCCCTGTTGGTCCACTCAGTTGCATCAGATGAATACTTTTGAAAGAAAAACTAAGGAACACTAGCTTTCAGGAGCTTAATATTAAATAATCAACGAATCTGTTAAGGGAGTTAAGCGATAAAGATGTCTCTGAGTTCATTAAACAAACAGGACTACAGTTAATCGGACTGAATCATCTCGTCCACACTCCCAAGCAGAAGGTAGCGCTAATGCACCTACAACGGTAATTGTTTCATGCCGTTAAAAATAAAAGGGAAGAAGAAAAAAGGATGACGATTAAAGAAAATGAAGAAGAAGCTGAAGCTGATTTCACTGCGCAGTGCGGGTACGCAGAGAAGATATTAACAGGGAGGCTTCATTCTTGACGTTATTCCAAACTATACGCAAGAGAGATTTCTCATCAAACTTGCAGTGAACTATAGCTCAAAGAATGGGAAGAAGTATATATGGTGGTTTTAACGCGGAATGCCTGGTTGTCTCCACTAAACACCGATTACTACTCTTCAGTGGTATATTCAGGAGGGACTAGCTTCGGGAAAGCAAACAAGCTAGCAATACAGGGTAGCTTCGCAGTGAGGCTACCTTGCTAAACTTTTCCTGGCACGAATTTTGCAGCTAACATCTGTCGCATGCACAGAAAGAGAAAATGGTGAGAACTGCAGATTTCTTTCTTTCATTAAATGTAAACGTAGATGTATTTTGATTTTTAATATGTCATGTCTGTCTCATTGTTGTCACATTTTGGAACATCTGTCAAAAGGCCAGCCAGCCAGCTAGCTAGCTAGCTAGCGAGTATTGCTACGAGGTTGACCGCTTCTGTCACCTGCCTGACGATGGTGTTTTTTTCAAGGAAGAAGCCCAGATCAGCACATGATTAAAAGCCCTATAGCATGAGTTGCAGTCCCCTGTGTTTAGTTAGTCGCGTTCCTTCAACAAACTGTCGACTTTTGAATTCTTATTGACTCGCCTCGCCCCCCCCCCCCTCCATGCCAAAAAAAAAAGTATTGGAAGCTTGATACCTAGCACTAAATGCATAACTTTATGAAGATCTTAAGTTTACATAATACATGCTCAGGTTTTGAGACTTTAGGCCTAAACATCTCTTATACATTGTTCAGGTCAGATCTGTGACTTCATAAAGTTATCTAATGAATACACAATTGCAGACCATGAATCATTTAAAGTATATGTGTCTGTAGCATATTATTTACCATTGTTGTTATTGCTTAAATGTTGGCACATTGTGCTTTTTCCCATATGCAGGTGTACCTGTTAAATCCTATAGAGAACCTCAGAAGCTACATCAACAACCGTCCACCCCTGGTCATTTTTATGATCAGTGTCAGTGCAGTGGCCATCGCCTTCCTGACTATCGGTTATTTCTTCAAAATAAAGGAGATCAAGTCTCCAGAGTTGACAGAGGTGAGAAACACCCATATAGGTCTTGAAAAGAGATGAAGTTGCATGGTCTGCTGCTTCAGTTCTTTCAAATACCAGTAAAATGTGGTTGCTTCTAATGCTAAATGTCACTAAAACCTTTGTGAGTGGTCTGCTTTATGCCTCAAGAATGCATTTGTCATCATCTAACTCCTAATGTCCACATGATTGTAAAAACTACAACTGGAGACCAAAAGGTCATATGAGAACCATGTACCGTAATTTCCGGACTATTGAGCACACCTGAATATAAGCCACACCCACAAAATTTAAAATTAAAAAACTGTTTGTACATAGCCGCAGGTGGACACCTGCGAAATATCACGTTGTAACATGAGATATTTCGACAGCCAGATCGATCGCCTTTAAATTGAAAGCTGCATCATATGCATTTTGTCATGTGTTTTCCATGATGAGAGTGTGTGAACAGCAGCAAGACAAAAGAGATGGTGATTGACCCCCGGCAGAAATCACCAGCACTCACGCCGGTGAGCTTGCAGGGATCAGATATTGAGATTGTGGACACCTTTAAATACCTGAGTGTCCACCTCAACAATAAAGTGGATTGGACCAACAACACAGATGCCCTGTACAGGAAGGGCCACTTGTTAAGGAGACTGAGGTCTTTTGGGGGGCGCGGGGCACTCCTTCGGACATTTTATGATTCTGTGGTGGCATCTGCAGTTTTTTACGCTGTTGTGATGTGTGCTGTGTAAAATGTAACCTTCTGATGACTCTACTTTTATAACCCTTGTGTGTATCAGTCCTAATGCTTTGTTGCCTTTATGTAACTTTTTATTTTAAGACTAAGTGTTTTTTGTTACTACGTACTTGCGTACACATGCACCGCCCAAAGTGGCAGCAAGTTACAGTAGCTGTGCCCTCGTTGTGTTCTTTCCCGTGTTTCTATGAAGTTCTGTTCTTATGGTGTTATGTTGGTTGTTCTCTATTGCTGCTGTAACACAGAAATTTCCCCACTGTGGGATCAATGAAGTACCTACCATGAAGTGAAAAAAGTGTTGGCTTATCGTCCAGAAATTACAGTATGTTCAGGTCTGTATATACTGTAGTGAGCTTCCAGTACAGATACAGAAGGTGCATACATGCAAATTAACTTTTGCATGTGGATCTGAACTGAAAAGCAGATATGCATCAAAATGGCTGTAGAAGTGCCATACATGGATGCTGTTGTATGCCAGTGGATATGGAATATGTACATTGAATTCTGCCAGTACATAACTTAAATATCACAAGGGAAGTTCTATGCATGGCGTTCCACATGTGGAAGGTTGAATAGATTTCAAGTGTAAAGTAAGTGTAAAAAAAAAAAAAAAGTTTGACTTGTGGTTAATTGCACCCTACTGTCCTGTCTAACAAATAAAACATACATACTCTCTCTCAGGACTGGAACACCTTTCTGCTGCGCTTTAATGAGTTGGACTTTTGTGCATCAGAGAATGAAACGATAAAGCATGGCATGAATGAGTCAACCACACCAGAGAACATGGTTGTGACCAGTGGCCAGGCTCGTCCCAGCACCCAGGCTCCCCTCCTGTTGGAGGACTCCGGTCCCATCAACATCTCTGTCCCCATCACCCTCACGCTGGACCCCCAGCGCCCTTTTGGAGGATACTCTCGCAATATTACCCACCTGTATGCCACAGTGCTAGGGCAGCAAGTTGGCCTATCTGGTAGGTTCTCTTTTGCATTGTCGCAAGTTTTTATTTGTCCCCATGGTAAAATATGCATGATGCAGGTACATCAAAGTCAAGGCCACAGATTCTAATGATCATAAAATGTATCTAAAATGTTTGCAGTAAAAATGTCAAGTGGCTAATTCCACTGTTCCTGTGTATCCGTGTCCTCGTGTATATGTGTGTTCTGTGAGCCATCCATGTCAAGATTATGATCCGTCACAAACCTGTTTCACACTGTTCCACTTGATTTGAAAAATTACGACTCAGTTTTCCTTAAGTTATACTATACATAAATTATAAATTAATCCAAAAGTTGTATTTAAGTATCGTAGTATATGAACGTGAGTGCATGTCTTTTGTTTCGTTACCCAGCAATATACTGCATTTTAGACCCTGTGTTTTTTTTTGTTTTTTTTTGTGTACAAGTGTTTTTCTTGAATTATGGTTTTCACATCTACTTCTCCATCTAACTAACCTTCAGGTATATTTGGCACAAATGGAATTTAGAGAGAAAATTATTACCAAGACCCAAGTTCTCAGTTACTAGAAAGGTCATGTTTTTCATGTCCTTATCAGCTGTTTGACTTTTCTTATGAGAAGCAGAAATGCTTTTGCTTTGGGACTCGTGCATGGTTTCCTGGATATACCCATCTCTCCTCACTCGTACCCAGGAGTCGGACCACTCACATTGAATAATAATCTACTAATCCCCTTTACAGTTAGATAAATATTGAATAAGCCTACAACATCAGTCTGTCATTCCATATCAGGGGAGTGTCTTGGTATAACATTGAATATTGCTGCTGTGCCTCCGCCTGGTTCCTAGCTTGGGAGTTGTATGCCTGCTGTTTAGACTCTTCTAGGCTCTAATAATTGCCTCGTTGCTAGGAGGCACCTCTCTTGGTTTTAGCTTAACAATGGCTGGCTGCATTTGTTTTGTCAACATAAAGTTACATGAGAGTGGATAGGCAGGTTAAAAGCATATGGATTGCACTCTGTTGGGTTTCATAAAAAATATAAGGCCGTCCAAAACAACTCTGTGGTTAAAGAGTTGGAAAAAAACTTTCTCTTTGCTGTCATTATATTTTGTGTTTAGGCCGAGAAGCTCATGAAGAAATAAACATCACTTTCACCCTGCCTGTATCCTGGAACTCAGACGACTGTGTACTGCACGGCCACTGTGAGCAGGTGGTGTTCAGCACTTGCATGACTATAACAGCGGCCAGCAATATCTTCCCAGTCACAGTGTGAGTTGGACTGCCTCCCTGACTCATGGGGAGACACTTTATATCTCTGTCTACAGTATCTGTGTTTTTAATGTCTGCTTTTGGCTGACCGACTTAATGCATTTAAGCAGTGACAGTAGTTGGTGTTATGGTCTCTGAGAAAGGAAAATGAGTATGACTGAGTATGAAGGCAAAACATATGACCAGTACTAGAAGCTGAGCAGTTTTTGTTCCTTCTTTTCATTTCAAAATATTGTATATTCTGATTATCGTTGTGATTTAATGTTGTTACAGGAATTAAGACTGACTCACTGACTTGGTGTCTGCACCACTATTCAATCTCATTGTTACATTTAGTAGCAGATGGCAAATTGATTAGTTGGTCAGATTTATTCACACAATAATTTGCAGTATTTTTTTCCCCTTAAAGTCCAATGGCAGTTCAATATAGTTCTTGTTTGCTGCATGTAATAGAACCAAAAGGCTTATTATTTGTAGCTGAAATGACAAATGCTCCCAGCAAATTTTAGCAGCTATAGAGAATAAGTGTTCATTCCATGTCATTCCAGTCTCCCAGATATCCGTGGAGATTTTATTATTGGCAGTTTGTCACTGTTTTAGAGTGGACAACATCTATGAATGTCAGACTCTAGTGTCTGTCTTAGTATGTAGTATTAGTTGCCATGGATGCTGCTTTTGCCTTATAGAATAAGAACTATGAAATTGCAGTTAATTATATATAAATGTTTCCCATATGTTGGTTTTGTTGATATGCATAGACTAGCCTTGTTAGTTTTAGCTTTCCTACCACTTTGTCTATCCACTTCCCAGGTCTGTGAAACTTCAGATAATAAGACACTGTGAATTAAGTAGTCAGATTAGTACAGAACATTACATAAAATGATTCTTGTCCAGTTGATGCAGAAGCAGAAAGTGATTATATAAATGAGGCAATAAGATCTCCAGCAACAGCTTTAACATTTCTGCTGTCTGTCACTGCCATAACCAACATAATGTGAACATTTCTATGGCACCAGTCAAACAACAATGTGTGTTTTGGTTTGCAGGCAGCCGCCACACTGTGTGCCAGAGACGTACACCAATGCCACATCTTGGTACAAGGTATTCACTACAGTCCGTGACTCAGATACCAAGTACAGTCAGGACTACAACCCCTTCTGGTGTTACAAAGGAGCCATTGGCAAGGTGTACCACGCACTCAACCCAAAGCTTACTATCATTGTTCCAGATGTGAGTCACCAGCTCCTTGTTTTCTGATAGCAGTCATTATGTTTATTTAACAGTTTCTGGTTAAAGTATCTAATATCATCACTAGTTGGTATCTCTCAGATGGAAGCTAGAATATCAGCCTCATTCTTCATTCATTTCCCTGAAGTATTCTTTATTTCCCATTTTCTATTTTTCCAGCGAGAGATTAAATGATTAGAAGTGTGTACCTTTGTGTTAATATAGCATTTTATACCTTAACATACTTTTTCAATTTTTAAATTGAAATAGATAGGTGAAATAGATAAGTGACAGCACTTCCACCGTATTTGTGGAATGACCCATATATGGTGTGTGGGTGGAGAGAGCCTATGACATCATCTACAAAAGGCCAGCCCATTGTAAAGGAAAAACACATACAGAAGTATATACTAACTTAACTGAAGACACCTTCTGAACCTTTAACCTCTGTCTCTATTCACCTCAACAGCTACAATAAAATTAATCAAAGTTCTAACAATAATACGAACAGTATCTTTCATGAACGCAATCAGTAACGATAACACATCTTGCAGATAAACCGTCATATAACACGCAGTGGCGTCCTTTTAAATAACAGAGAAATGGACTGATACTTGATGTTTCACTTTCCTTGCTTTTGTCTCTATTTTGATTAAGGGGGGCCTAAATTGTTACATTTCTCAAGGTTTTATTTTATCCCTCATCCTTACTGCACAGTTCAAATTAGCCTATAATGTTCAAAATATATTGAAAAAGTCTTTATGGAGTGGAAACGAAGTATATTAAAGAGTAATTTTTATTACATTGCCATGAAGTTATTTTAAAAAGACTTGTAGTCATGTAATAATTAAGTTGGTCCCAAGGGAGGGTGGTATAAACTGCATAGCTATAGAAACGCTAACAGTACTTTATGGCCATTTTGTCCAAGGAACATGTAGAAATCGCCTTTTCGTTGTAACAAAACCAGCGGTGAACTTGTGATATTTACCTCTTTTTAACATGTTTCTTACCAGGATGACCGGTCCCTCATCAACCTACATCTGATGCATACTAGCTACTTTCTGTTTGTCATGGTCATCACTATGTTCTGCTATGCAGTCATCAAAGGTCGACCTGGCAAAATACGACAAACCAACCCTGACTTCTGCCCTGAGAAGGTACAGCAGACACCAGCAGTGCTATATGAAGTGAACAGGTAGTTTCAGCCAAGCCTCTACTGACCGGTGACTGGTCAAACAAAATATCCAATCCTACTGCATATTTTTTTATTTTTCAAACTATATTATATATATGTGTGTGTGTGTGTTTGTGTGTATATATATATATATAAAGGTTGTTTTAAATGAGATGAACCTTTATTACTCCCACAACAGGGAAATTCACAAAGCTACAGCAGCAAATGGATAGAAACAAGGCACTCAGTGATAAAAATAGAAAAAGTAACAGGCAAGGTATTAGCAATATAAATGTAATAATAAAAAAAGCTAATATTACACACTGGTATAATTAATGTTTGCAGTTTTACATTCCATAGTCTGTTACTGACAGAGCTGCACAGCGCTGTCAGTCTCATGCATGGAGTGGGACTCATTCTCCAGCAGGGTTGTTAGCTTGGCTAATATCAGTCTGTCGTCCACGACCTCCCAGGACAGAGCTGACCCATTTGACCACTTGGTCTAGTTCCTCCTGTCCATGGTCGAGATGCTGCTGCCCCAGCAGTCCACTTCATAAAAGATGGCTGATTCCACTACTGTCTGGAAGGAGGTTCTCAAAAGTGTGCCCTGCACTTCAGACAACTTCAGTCTCCTCTGGCCTTTGTTGTAAAGTTCATCAGTGTTGTTTGAACAGTCCAGTTTATTGTTGAGGTGAACACCCACGTACTTATAAGAGCCCTTTCTCTCTTTCTTTATTTTTAATATCCTGCAACTGTGACACATTAACTTCTTATGGCTTAAGATATAAAAAGCACATATAAATCCTGCCCATGTTAATATACTGTATTTGCAGATTGTACCTGTTACTCTTCATAGATTAAAACAAGAGGTGTATTGTTGGGAACCTACACAAAAGCCATAAACCCTGCAAGGACAGTACTGTGCTGTTCATGATCCTTCTGCCAGGTGCATGCAGCATCTTGCTCACAGGGGTAAAGGAAGATTGTCCTCAATGGTCTGTGCATGTTGTAACACAATACAGACAACGACATTGGCGACATGCATCACTTTTAATCACAGCCACTGTACAAGCAGCCCACTCATACCAGTTCAGTGATAGGTCAGTGTTTCAGTGACTCGTAATAGGACAAAGCGTTGGGTTTGAGTGCTCTGCTGCAGGGACAACACAGCAAATTGTACTGTTTTTGGATCCAGTCAGGAGAGGGTGGAGCCAAGCTGAAGTGCTGTAGTTCTTCATAAAAGCGCACTGTGACAGTTCTGGTTTGACTGCTTCTTGCCCTGCTGTATTTAAAACTGTCTCGTGTTGAATTATTTTTACTGAAGAATAGACTCAGTAATGCTGCACTGTAAACTCAGTAGTTAATCACCTGAGGGAATCTGATCAGACTTGAAATCTCTTTTCTATTCTCTTGCCTTCCTGTGATTTCACTGCTCCTTTGGTGATATGTGTGAGGATTGTTTATTGTATGCATTAATTTGTGTCCTGAGGTTGTAAGTCACACTAAATGACATTTCTTCTATTGCAGGTGGCACTGTCGGAGAGTTAAAAAGATAGTGGAGAACTATATCAGAACTTATCTGTAACATGGACAAACTCAACAAAACAGAAGAAATAAAAATAAAACGTACCAGTTACCTAGTGAAGCTGGAAATGCAAAATGGGACACAAAAAGGTTCTGTAAATGCATTCATCTTGCAGTGTTGGTTTCTCCAACCAAAGATATACAAGTGCCTGTATCTGTGTTGTAAATATTTGTAGGACCTCTAATACTCTGTGCAGAACCTTTAATTTCTTTTTATCTTATTATTTTTGCCTGAGTCCCCTTGTGCCATGTCAGAACATGCAGTACACAAACAATGCAGAAGGCCAGGTGCAAGGATGATGTAGGCTTCCTTTTGAAAAGTCAGTCTTATTTTATCAGGCACATAGAGCTGGGTTATTCAAACCATTCTATGGCATTTATCACAGATTTAGGCTTTGTTGTAAATGTTTGAATGTCTCAGAACCATCTGTAAACAAGATTTATCTCCCATGATGAGAAAGCATGATGCTTAGTCACTCGCAATATGTTGAAGTGAACTGAATACGCTTCAGTACCCGGCTTGAGATATTTGCTTGAGGATGAGATGCTTGTGACACATTTCTCATGAAGTCACCAGTAAGCACTCATCACTGCGGCTTCAGCAGGGAAAAGAATAAATATAGCACCCATCTCCGCACCAATCTCAACAATATGATCAAAAGTCTTATCCGAATAAAGTCCATTCACAGTGAGCTTTGCATAATTAGTATGATTGAGAGTTCAACTAAATAAACTGTCTCTACGGAATTAAATAACATCAAGTTTCCCCTGTTACTTGTTTCAGAATAGGCCGGGAGACCATTTTGTCTTTCCAACATTGTGTCATTCCCCTCTGCCACAGCCATGCTTCTCCTTCTGTTTTATTCCTGTATGATGAGCCTGTGGTTTGAAATCAAGCTTGTGATTTTTGTCCTATAGTAAATGTCATATTTTATGGTATGTTTGAATTACATTTGCTTTCACTTTAAGCTAATCAGTCAGATGCATGTTCAAGTGTCTGCATAATTAGCACATCTTCAGATTTCTTGCACTTTTTGGGGGGGGGGGTCTACGAACACATAAACTGTCTGCTGAAGGAACAAGTTGGACTCCTAAAATTATTTTGTAGTACAACAAAATGTGTAGAAACTGGCTTGGTGTACAAGTGTGTGTGTGTGTGTGTGTGAGGGAGTTTGGGGATTTAGAATAAAGGCGGGTTTAGACTGTGATTCTCTGAAGTCTTGCTTCAGGTGACTATGTGGGTACATGTGAGGGTAATGGGATTTATTCAGTGCATATACTGACTTGACTGGGCACAGAAATAAAACAGGTTCACCTCCAGTGACCTGCATATAAAAAGTCTTCACATGAATGGCTCTTATTGTGTTGTACTGAAGCTCTAACTATAGCTTTAAGGATGAAATTTCTGCTCTTCTAATGGTTATATATTAATATTTTGAGAGCATGACTGACTTTGACAATCATTTATTCTAAATATACTGCAATGCATATTAGGTTTGTAACAAAGGGGGGAAAAACAACAGCATTGTAATTGGGTAAAGATTATTGTTGATGTTAAAATCCTGAGTGATCAAGCACTGTCCACTGTGCTGTCTTCACAAATGTAAAATGTATGAACATTTTTCCAATCCAGTCTTTGCCCATAGGTGAAGCAGTATAAAATCTTCCTGCAGTCTTAAAGGAAAACTAAAGAGGAAATAATCTAATTCTGCCTGTAATGTCTGTTATGTGTGACTTTTGAAAATGGCAATTACTGATACATTTGACTTACCTCTGTTATTTTGTTCCTTAATTAATGTACCTGTTGAATGTACTTTATATATTTTTATGAAGCATAATCTAAATCAGAGATGCAAGACTTTTGAGTGATTTTAAACTGTGATGTAGCTTTGTTTTGTTTTATCCAGTGTGAAAGGCTTTAATTGTGTTAGGTTGACTGGTATTCATATCTTATAAGTTTAATCTTTTTGTGGCATAAACAAATTTCTTGCCACATTATTTTATCAATCACTGTGTGTGTGTGTGATGGTGGATGAGTGAAAGGTGTTGGGTTTTGGTCCTTGTGGTTATGATACCTATGGTTTCCCCTCCATATTGAATCTTTCTGATTTTGAGGTGTATCCATATTTGAGCATGGATCCGTTGCTTTTATTATCATGGCTAGCTCCTGTGTGCTTATGGTTGGACTTGTGCTCTTATTTATTTTATTTTATTTTTTTGATTTGGGTGTTGAAGGTGTGAATGAAGCATGCTACGTTATTGCCAAATCGTCATCCCTCTTTGTGTGATTTTACTTTTCTCATCTTTGGATAGAATTGCATCTCTAATAGCAAAATGCCTTAACATTATCCTGTGTCATTTGAGTTGTCTTTGTTTCATTTGCCGCATACTGTAAAACACGCCGGCTTTCCAGAAACGAATCCAAATACAATACTCGCGTTATGACTTCTGAGCTGCAAGGAACTCGGATGACACTGATTCTTGAGTGGAATAGATTTTTAAGGAATGGATGGCTGCTGTTGTGGTTTTGCTGCAATGCCACTGTATCTCAAAGGATGGGAGTAAACACAGTGAAGCCATAAGTTGCAACATCTCAGTGTTCTTGGCTTGACATTAAGCAAAACACACAAGTCTCTAATGTAAGGCTGCCATTTCACCCTGTTATCCTTTCTGACATGTTAGCAGTGCTTACAGATGGCAAGTATTAAGCCAACTCTGTGCCTTCTGCACTATCAAGCTGCATCCTCCTCCCTGTACATACAGTAGATACAGTAGGACTGTGGGTTTAATGTGGCTAAAATGTCATTCAAAACCTTTTCCTCTCCAGTGAAACTGCTGTAAATTAATTCAAGTTTAAATAAATTGTCTCTGAAGCTCAACATTACTTTGTCCCGGACTCTTGTTCGATCCACTGCAGTAGTGTTTTTTTCCCTTTGGAAGATTAATGATGTACCATTGGAAATAAATTTAACTAATTTGCTGGTACTGAAAGTGAACTGTAAACTTCCCCAAATGTTACACAAATAGTGCATTTGATGGGAACTATTTTTGCCAT